CTAGAAGTCTGCAGCAACCGATGAGAATTTCCTCGGAATTTTCATCCTGTCACCAACACATGTAGTTGTCCGTGTGAATATTTCATCACACGAAATGTAATCTAAAACATTTTTTAAACTTAATTTGGGAACTCCTGTTGATTTCTGTACACTGCTGTGAAAATTCGTATATAAACTTCTATCATTAGTGAGGAAGCTCCTGAGCTCAGCTGAAAAAAAGCGATTATATGTATTCCTACTCCAACACTGTGATTATTGGAGTTTTACCCTAGTGATTTGGAAAATATATTTTCATATCACCGTAAATATCGCGTTCCTGACTTTATTGGAGTTTCACCCTAGTGATATGAAAAACACTAGTGGAAAACATATTTCACGACTACTGCATATCACCGCGAATATCGCGTTTTTTACAGAGTTTTACGCCACTTCACGTAAAACAGGTGAAACTCCATTGAAATCCATATTTCAGGATGACCATTGCCTCCCCTGCCCATCGAGTGATAAGGAAGACGACTGCATGTATTGTCCATGGGCGAGCATTGAGGAGGTGACCACTGCCAGCTTGTGCGTGCGTGCAATTTAGTATGGTTTCTCGTTAGGACGAGGCTGCTGAGCAGAGCACTACGGCTACGCTGGGAGCGGACTCTGCGGCACCGGGAAGTGGTCGCGATCAATCTCCTATGAATGTGAGAAAAAATTGGGAAAAATTGGAAAAAAAACGGAAAAAAATGGGAAAAAATGGGAAAGATTGGGAAAATTTGGAAAATTTGGGAAAAATTGGGAAAAAATTGGTGGTTTTTTCCTCAGGATTCGCCTCCGTTGCCGGGATCGAGCGGCTCGTGTTGGACTCCAGTGGCTAACACGCGGACGTACACGCCGGTTCCTGAAGATACTGATAGGATTCTCTGCGTGAAGTAATGGGGAAATCTTCAGAGTGCGAGTCCAAAAAAAATCTGTTATTTTCATTATTAATTATTTAGTTTATCATTGGAAATTCACTCGTGATATGAAAAACAAATTACCCATGTGAGCAGTGAATAAAGGGATGTGTTTCACGCTTTATAGTTTTTCGGCGTTTTTCGTGTGAAGTGTTTTTAATTCACTTCATAGCGCGAATATCGCGTTTTTCAC